TTATTGTTAATTTAATCAAATCAAAGATCCTATCCACTAATCTAAATATATTAGTTTACAGCGAAGCCTGTTAATGCAGTAACCTATAGAAAGGAATATTTTTTCCAAAAATTCAAATATTTCCAACTTATTTACAGATTTTTTAATGAATAAGTTAAATTTGGAACCAGAACTTTTGTGCAATTTTAACTAGCTCCCAATTTGACAGATTTTACTGTACATTTTTGTGATAGCAATTAAATATAGAGCGAAAGCAAAAACACTAAAGATCTTTAAAGATATTTTGATTATCTGAAAAGAATATTCCTATCAAAATATCTTTTCAATTAATCAAAGTGCCTATTCACTGATCTACAAATATACTAACATCTTTTTTATTTAAAGCTAATTGATTATAGTAATATTATCTATTTCATTAATATAATAGAATCACAATCTAATGCAAATTAAAATATTTTCTATTTTTCGCTAGACAAAAAAATTGCAAGCTAAATTATTTTTAATATAAAATTAACAGTTCTACTTACTTTATTAGTAACAATAAATTAATTTTATTTTAAAAACTAAAACTGATTTTTGATGAAATCTTTTATTTATTTTATAAAATAATTTAATTATTTTTTTTATTTTAATATAAGTACTTTTAAAGTGTCTGTTTAACTGCATTAAATATGTTTGTTTTACACTAAATTATTTGTAGCGCCATTTGTTAATTTATATGGAATGATCATTTAATAGTAAATATATATATAATTTAAGCTTAAAAATATATGGTGTTAGTATTATTATTTATTTTAATTAGGGATAAACCAAATTTTACTTAAATCCCTAGTCAAAGGAGAAAAATCTTCAAAAATATATTTTTCCTCTCTTTGATATAAGGATTTTTTTACATTATTTAAATAATTAAGTTAGTAAATATATAAATAATTTACTGTTTTAATAAGCTAATTGTCAAGAAGAAAGATTATCAATTAATATTTTTTAAAAGCGTAAAATTGGCCATTAATGAAATATTAAAATTATAAATCTAAAAGAAATAATAACCTTAAATCTATCTTAAAAATATTGTAATTTTAAGCTTTATACAAATATAGTCTTATTTTGTTCTATTTTTTTTTATCATTTTGTACTAAAAGAGTTTTTTGTACAATTTACTTCATTTTTTTTAATTAAAAAAGAATTTTTTATCACTTTATTCAACAATATCATGCAGAGATGCCTTTAAGCGCTATCAGAAACTACAAGAAGGTTAATAAATTTATTAATTTTTGTTAATTTAAATATTAGATTTTTCGAAAGGCTTGTCTAACTACTTTTGTGTCATTAATGCGAACATTGAAACCTTATTTTCTTTCAGATCTTAATAATTACCTAATAAAGCCAGCAATAATCCTACTGAATATGAATCAAAATAAAATAAAATAAAAATTAATTTAAAATTAAAATTTTAAAAAAAAAATACTTTTTTTGTATAAAATATCAGTTCATTATCATTTTTATTTAACATTTCAGGTGCTGAATATCCTAAATTTCCTATGTGCTATTAAGTTATTTTTATTATTTAATATATATATTTTTATATAGAATTAAACATCTACTTCTATAGTTTGTATTGAGTCTTTATTAACTGGAATCTAAGTAGATAAGCCGAAATCACTCTATAATCAAAAGATAATGAAAAATACTTTATGAATAAAAATGATTTACATAATTGACTTCTGCTTATTTATTTTCCATCTAAATAAACCAAAAATTTTTCTGGTTTAATATCTCTATGAATGATATTAAATTAATGAATGTAATTGACAGAATCTATAATTTAGATTGTTATTTAAAATTTATCACCTTCGGTTTATTATTCATCTTTGTTTTATCTATCAAGATATTCATCTATGAACCTTTTAAAAGATTAATGTTAGATGTAATGAAATATATTTTTTTAAAATCATTTTTATATCAAAAATGTTTCAAATTTATTAATTGAGTAATTTATAATGAAAGTAAGATAACTATTTTAATTAAAAATAATTATTTTTACAATTTATAAATTAAAAATTTAAAAACGAATTAAATTCTATTTAACTGAAAATATATTTATTTATTTGTTTATTTATTTACTTAAAATTTGATTTTTATATTACAAAAAATATCTTTTTTAATAGTTAATTGAAACCTAAATTAAAATAAATGTTAAGGACTTAACAAATTACATGAACATTTTTCTAATTCAAATACTGAGTATCTATCAGGTCCTATTTTATTTTCTATTATATAGCTATCATAAAACTATACCACTAGTGACTCTTTTAATTTCTACATAATAATAATTTCATTTTAGATTTGTTATTCATCTTCTATTTTTGTATTTTTAACACTATTTGTTTGTTATCAAGCTTTACTTTTTTAGTAGCTAACACCATTCCAAAGCTTAGAATTTGAAAATTATTCTAATATTTTTTATTTTTATAGAGAAATTTCGGCAGATTAGATAATAAATACTTCCACTTTTTTTAACTGTGCTTTCTTATCTTTTTCTAAAATTTTCTTATTGGTGTTCTATAGAATAAACTAAGCATCCTTGTCAAATTAATTATGCTTTAAAATTAATTATGATATAATTTACATTTAATTTATAACTTTTTACAAAATATAAACTAAATATAATAATTTTTTACCCTTTGTTTTTACTATTAATTAATTCTATCAAATATTTACTGTGCATATTTAGGTATTTATTCCTTTTATGATAAAATTATTTTTTCAATTCAAATATTCCAAAAAATTTAGCTAAATTAAAAACCTTTGATGTAAAAAAATTATTAATTTATTTTTGATATTATAATAAATTAAATTATTAATTAATTTAATTCTATTATAAAATATATATAAAAATCAGATTTTTTAATAATTAACTAAAAAATCTATTTCAGAATAAGTGGCATCCAAACCAAAAAATTTTTGTATGGCTTCTTGCTATAATGTATTTATCTTAATGGATGTAAGTTTAAAATAAAAGAAAGTAGGACTAATAAAAAAGGGTAAATAAGTCTTTATTGCTGATTCACTAAATATAGAGTTTTAACGACTTTTAATATTAATTATTAACCTCTTTATGATAATTACATAATTCATACCTGCAAAGTTAGGCAAAATGAAAATAAAACTATCTCTTCTTCATTACCAAACAAAATTTTCATATAAATTAAGAATTTAATAAATCAATAAAAGTTTTTGAATATACATATTAATTTAATAAAAAACATTTTTCATAAAATAGAAAATAATCAAATTTTTTATTTATCTTTGCAATTAGTTTTAAGAATAAAACTAAAAATCAATTAATGAAATTAATTTAATTTACTTTTCTTGTAAATTATCTTTATTAAATCAAAACACTAAAATTTATTTATCATAAATAAATAAAAATTGCATCATATTCAAAATTATAGTTTTTTATATGAAAAAATTCAGTTTTATTTTGGTTATAATTCACCTTTTAAACAAGTAATTCATTATAGAAGGTATAATTATGCTTATTACTTAAATAATGCTAATAAATTTAAAACTGCAAATATATTTTTTTTAATTTAAATGATGTTTTAATTAAATTAAG